CTATTGTATTGCATGATTTTATATTCAACTGTCAGCATTGCTATCTAAGGAGTAATTTCTTTATTTTGCTAACATTGCAGAAAGGTAGTTACCAAGAGACTCAAATACTTAATTGTGTTTTCCTTCTATTTCCTTTTAGCCAGGAGATTTGTTATACTTTCCAAGAGGAACTATCCACCAAGCTGACACTCCTCCGGGGGGATTGTATTCTACTCACGTGACCATCAGCACCTACCAAAACAAGTAATTATTCTTTACCATTTTCATAGCGTGGCGTCCTTGGACAGTTTGGATAAATGCTAACGGTGACCTAAAATATGTGTGTTTCAGAGAAGTGGTGCTATCTGTTGGCTAGAGCAAAGGCTTTGTAGTTTGGGGCTCTTGGGTTCTGTTCCTTGTTCAGCTACTGAACTTGCTGTGTGACCATTGACAATACCCTAGCCTTTGTGCCTCAGTTTCCCCATCAGTAATATGGGGATAATACTTTACCTGCCTCCCTTGCAGGGCTTTTGTGAAGTTTGTTTGTTTGTAAGGTGCTATGAAATCTTCTGATGAATGATACCATAGAAGTGCAACACTGTAATTTAAATTTAAGCCAGTATTCATGTAGGAGTAATAAAGGTCTCGGAAAGCAAATCATTAGTTAATTGTTGCATAAAAACATAGCAAGTAGGCTGCTTTTAACAGAATCATTTTTAATTACTTACTTACTACTTACCAGCTGGGGACTTTAGGTGGAAGATAAATGACAAGTACATATTCAGTGTTGCATTTTATACAGTTTAACATTTTAACCAACTGGAGAGGTTATTGCACATTTCTTAACCCAGAGACTATTAAGCACATCAAGGATGAGTTTAGTTTTTCTCTCCTATGCTGCCTCCACCAGGCACCCAAACTTTATTATTTTATTATTATTATATGGAAATATACCTATCTCATAGAACTGGAAGGGACCTTGAAAGGTCATCAATTCCAGTCCCCTGCCTTCACAGCAGGACCAAGTACCATCACTGACAATTTTTTGTCCCAGATCCCTAAATGGTCCCCTCAAGGATTAAACTCACAACCCTGGGTTTAACAGGCCAATGCTCAAACCACTGAGCTATCCCTCCCCCCTTTTTCTTAGCTGCAAACCATCCCTTTATAAAAATATCCTCATGCTTTTCATCTACCCCTTTCAGCCTTTCCCCAGAGATCAACTTCCACCTCAACACTGTTTCCTACACCTTCCCCCTGCTGGTGCCTTTTCCCACTGGGGGATCGCTGCTCCCACCTAACCTGTTTCTCCACTGCTGGCCTCTGAGTCAATGGTCTGGGTGAGGAATCAGATGTGGGAAGGATTTCTAGCAGTAGGGGGTGTCTCATCCCCTGCCCATATTCCAAAGCAACACATAAACCTAATATACCACGTTTCATAGCTGCTGGAAAACCTGCTGAACCCTGGAGTAGCACTTCCTACTTGATTCACTGGTGACCCTGTAAAATGACCAGCTTTCAGATTTTCTCCACCTGGTTCATGTTCTAAAGGTTAAGCTGAAATGGCTTTGAGCAGAGGACATGTCTCTCCCATACAGTAGGTGAGTCTTTACTGATTTACAGTGGGATTCAGTTTTGGTAATCAAAAGTTACTTTACAATGCGTTTTCTGCTTATATTATGGAGAGGCAGCATTAGAATCATACTTCCTGAGCTGGTTTGGCCTAGCAGAACTCATGCTGTCTTGTCATGGTGCAGATTTTGCTGAGTAAGTTCACTGCTTTATGGATCCACTTGCAGTGATCAGTTTTTATGATCAGAAGAGGAATTGCTCAAGTCAGTCCTTACAACTATTATATCATCTGTCAAATAGTATTGAAAGAGGAGGATTTACACTGGATTGCATCAGATCCCCGTCACATAATTGCTGAAGGCCTGAGAGGCTGGTGTTGAGTGAACATAATCCATCAGCTATGGCGTAAGGCAATGCCAGTTCACTCAGTTACGTGTGAAGCAGTACCATCAAGGAGCATGTTCCCTAGAGTGTTCTGAGAATGAGCAAGAGGCTAGAAGAGTGCTGTTCCTTTAACAGGAAAAGCATGCCCTAATATTTATCCATGCTCGTCAGGCTATTGGTAACTAGACGCTTCCTTCACATTCTCTCAAGAATCCCAGGCAGCATGAGCAGCAATCTTAGGAAAAGCTGCTACTTTGTATTTCTCATCCCTCGGGGTAAAGTGCAGTGATGAGACTGACTATAAATATCAGGAACGTGTGGTACGTGCTGTTTGTTTTGGGGAAAATTTCCAAGAGCTCTTAAAATGCAACAATCATCATAGTCGTCTTTTGTGCTCTTCCTTGGCGTCATGATCAGTGTCTCCTGTAAGCGTTGTTTTCCTTGGCTGAGTGACTGAGGGCAATGGAATGAATGTGATGTTTACTTGCAGTCTTAGCTTGTGTTCCACTGACTTCACAGAGGAACAGCAGGCTGGGGGGGTTGATTATGTAGGCAGTTTAATACGGCTGGGTGTCTGCATTCATCCAGTAATATGTGTACCCAAGAAGTGGATATACAGAATTCTAAATCCACCGCCAGCTGTAGTGGTGTTGCACTCTAAACATATATTACGCACAAACAACTGTTATAAGAACACTTAAGGTTGCAAAGTTAAGCACTCAAAAGGAAATGCCAGAATTGAGATTCTTGTGCAACCTTAACTTGTCCCCTTGTGCCTGTGCCTCAATCTGTGCCCAGCCAGTGCCAGTCTCTGCCCTTCCACCCCCACAAATTAAACTCCCAGTCAGTTTTTTCTTCCCCCTCTTCTCAATTCCCAGGCCCACCTCTTGTCCCCTCTGCATTTGAATCACACTGCTTCTTCCTTCCCACTGCCTGGAGGTGGGGAACCACTGAAAGCACAGGAGAAAGTCTCCTTGCTCTCAGTTTTGGTGCCAGGCTCTATCACAGAGCAGCAATTACAGGGGGAGTCTGCCTTTGCCCCTTTAGACTCGGGCTGAAGCTTGCTCTGTTGCTCTATGGGGATGATGCATGTGTAGCCAGGTCACACTAGGAGCTGTGAGGGGAGGGAGTGTGCTCTATGAAGATGGAATCTTAGGAGATTTTAGCTGCTGAAGTCCAAGAAGTTTCTACTGAGCATGTACAAAGTACAGTTTTTCAGAGGCTTCTAAGGTGGCCAAATTTAGGTGGATTTTTCATGGGGATGGCAAAAGACACATCCCCGGACACAAAGACCACTCCCTGCTGAATTTCAAATCCCTGCGCCAAAGCATGGAGTCTCTAGAGCATTTCAGAGAAGCGATCTCCAGAATTGTTTTCCATCCTTCATCTTGGAAACAGCTGAACTGTTTTGGTTGAAATTATTCAAAACAATTCCGCCTGAGGCAGACACCCACATGGAAAATTTCAGCCCAAATGTTTGGCTGAGGTTTGATAAGTAATAGAGAACAGGGTCTTATAATAGGAAATTTTGGGCAACCTTAGTAACAAGCAGCTATTGCACTCAAATAGGAAGGGCTATGTGCATATATACGCACAAATTAATTGAATGTGGTCCTTTTGAAAATGTACGTGTTTGCGTTACATGTTAATGTGTTTATAAAATTACCTGAAAATCCCTATTTTAAGGTTAACTATCTACTTTACCAGTGCCTGCTCTTTCTCAGCGTGTTTCAGTGGCTGATGTCACTCCCTGCCATGTGAGGGGAATCTTTGGATCGTCCTAATAATGTAGTTGTGGGGTTTTCTTCAGCTTGGAACTCCCATTATTTCACTGTCCTATTTAGGCTGCTGGAGGTTCAATTTCCTGGTGCATACCTGGTCTCTAACTTGGCTCTGCAATGCAGCCATGCAATAACAATGCAGCTCATGGTAGTGGGAATGGATTATTTTTTAAAACAAGGGTCAGAGCCGCCTCTGTTTAGAGTGTAGCAGAGGTAGGAGGGAAGGGGAAGGTCTAAGATGGAAGCTGCTCCGGTGTTTAATTACTAACATCAGCCAAAGTTTCCTTTTTCACGTACACCCAATGAACAGCAGCAGTTGGGACATGTAGGGAGAAAAAGATGGTAAATTTTCTGAGTCAGAGGTGGTGGCATTATTATTCATGTATCACTTGTATTACAGCACTGCCTAGAGCAGTGGTTCCCAAACTGTGGGGTGTGCCCCCTAAGATGGGCACAGAGGAACATCTGGAGGACAGTGGTGGGGGCCCCAGCCAGCCCCTAC